GAATTTTACGAGGTTCGGCAATGTGCTTACGTCCTCGGTGCCTAGGCGGCGCTAGAAGTTTTATTCAATGATCTTTTAGGTCTAGGTTACATCTCTATTTATAATAGAAAACCCTGGTACATAATTACAAAATCAACCCTGTACCGTACCGCGGGGGCTGCGCCCCCACACCCCCAACCCACATAATTCGTAACCCCACAACGAGACTTTTTATGAGCCATACATAACACCAACAAATCTCAAACCACTCGCATTTACTATCGGGACACAGATTTGAAAAATAAAAAATGAATAAACCAAACAGTGATTGATTGAAGCAAAAGGGTTTTACGTTTAAAGTGAAACCAGGAACATGGCGATTCCAATAAAGTTGAGCTACATTAGCTATATGTCTTGATATGATACTTGTTCCTGTAGTAGATGTACACTTGGCTCTTTCATTTTATTCAACAAACATACATATACGTAGCGAGAATCACGGCCCCAATTAAGAAAATCCAGGTTTTAATCATGTTTTGTCAGCATGCAATGATCGTGTCTTGGTACAAGAAGATCATGATTTGCCTAATCATCCAGCTAATTACCATTTTCTCTAAACACCTGTCTCCCACTATGTCTCTTCCACGTGATTTCAAGGTTGCATACATACACACACGTATAGTCGAGTAGCAAAGGGTCTAACATCTCTTAGTTGACATGCATAGATTTAAGTCGTGATCAATTGAGCAAAGGAAGTTCAGCAACCCACGTGCAGTTAACCTGAGCCACGGCTCTTGCCACTTTAATTTCATTTTTCCATTTCTATTGTATACATAATTAATTATTGGTTATCGATTTATTCAATGAAACGAGGAGTTAGGTTTCTTTAATATAGTAGACTAAAAAATTCTCTTAAATAACATTTAAAGCAGTAAATATAACAAACTAGATGGAAGAGAAAACAGTAAGTCGGTGAATGGGCTTAGGTATATCGAAAAGGATATTGAGTATTAAATTCTCCCACCCTTGTTTAAGTCCTACTTAACGGCCACAGCCACAGCCACTGGCCAGTAGCTCAGTGCCATCAAAACCGCACAACTAAAACCATTTGCTATTGCTTGGAGGACCAGACTCATGCTGTAAAATTATAAAATAATAATAATAATCACCCACAGTAATACTTAGGGATATCAACGGGTCTAGTTTAATCTATTTTTTTAGTATAACCATCGATATTTAATCTATTGATCGATTAATTTAAATATCAGGGACTACAGAGGTAAGGGAATCTTCTAACCCCAATTTACTCCATTCGCAATTATCAAAATTCAAACACTGACATTGTTTAAAGAATCTAGTGTCTCATCCTACTAGACCAACTAATTATTGATGAGTTGAATCAACTTTTTAATTGATTTAAACTCAATATGAGAATTATATTCTTCATCTCACATTTGATTCGATCACATTCAAGAGTTTAAATTTTAATTCAAATTTTAGGATAATAATTTTCACACAATCTAATTTAAATATAAATATTTTTAATTTTTATTCAATAGAATAATGACCTAGTTGACCTTATTACTAAAAGGCTAACAGTAAGAGATTGTGCCTCACTTATTGAGAAGTCTGTCATCGGACTTCAAGAATGACAAGCTAGAGTGTTTTCTTATGCTGACCGGCTTCAGCTAATTCAGTACGTCATTTATAACATGCAGAATTATTGGAGCAATCAGCTATTGTTACCTGATGTCGTGATTAAAAGGATTAATCAACTTTGTTACATGTTCTTTTGGAAGTATGAAGATAAGTCAGCGACAGAGACAAGAGTATGCTGGGCTTTCATTTGCAATCTCGAATCTGATGGAGGTCTTGACCTCACAGATCGAAAGGTTTGGAATCATGCGTGTTTTATTGACCTAATTAGGAAAATGTTATTGAATGTTGAGTCTATTTGGTGGCTTGATTGCATGCATATATTGTGAAACAGAACTCCTTTTAACAGATTACGTGTTTCCAAAATTGTAGTTGAACATGGAGACGTCTTTTACAGCTTCAAACTAAAGAAAGTATGATCCATGGTTTGTTGGGGACTCCATTTTTTCCACACGCCTAATATGGAATGAACTGAGAGTACATAGAGCTAAAGTTTATTGGGATAGGCTCGTTTGGCGTTCGAGTCATGTCTCCAAATACTTTGTTATAGCTTGGGTGACAAATCTAGATAAGTTGTCTACCAAAGCTCATTTTATTTCTTTTGGCTTGCCTATTGATGGTTCATGTGAAATTTGTTTGAATGCTTTAGAGTCGAAGGATCACTTATTTTTCACTTGTTGCTTCACTAAGGCTGTTTGGGCTGGTGTTCTGAGTTTGTGTCATCAGTCCAGACTCGTTCTTGACGGGGGCGATGAGTTGCTCTGGGCATATCAAAAGTTAAAAGGGAGGTCTTTACTGTCTGCTTTGCTTCGCCTAGCATTTATGTTGCGTTGGTTTGGAGAAAACGGAATATTAGACACTTCAAGGGGGTCTCTTCCTTCGAGGACAACTTGTTTGATCAAATTAAGAAGGCGATTCGACTGCAATTTAACGGTTTGAAGGTTAATTTAGGGGGCAGTTGATAGTTCCCTTTGTATAGAGTGGGGGCTAACCATTTTAACTTGGTTTTTATCGAGTGTTCATACAGTTTTTGTATACGGGGTTTATATGGTTTGTTCGACGTGTTGTTGATATTCCGGGGTTAGTTTGAAAAAAATATAAATTCATCCCAAAAAAATGATCTAATTTAAATATATAAAAAGGTATCATAATATATAAAAGTATCAATTATATTATTATTCTTGAATCGATCTGATCAAATAATTGTTACTCAAAATCGAACTTAATTCAACCTTATCCTCCACAAATTACAACTTAATCTGACCCAAATCTCAACTTTAAGAAGAAGAAAATGCCTCATACACTATAAGGCCGAAACTCAAATTCGAGTCAAATTATTATGCTTAATTGCAAGCAAATAAAAATTGTAACAGTAAATAAAGAATAAAAAATTTGATGAAACTGGTATTATTCGATAAAAGTTTTGAGTTTGGGTTTTGTGTACGTATAAAAATAACTTAATAAGAGTTTGTTCTTTGGGATGAAATTTAACCTAATTTGATTATAAATTAAACTTTTTTTAATAAGTTAAGGTAATTACAAAGTAGTATTTCTTCTAAATACTTTTAATTATTTGATAATGAATGCTCAATCACCCTGCCGTAGTTGCTGGTGCTCGAACTTGTAACTTCTAAAAAATCATCAAATCCTTTAATAAGATAAGTTGATTCGTGCATAAATTAAACTTAATTATCTATTAGAATTCGAATTAATCTAAAATATAAGATAATAAATTAAATGTATGCAAATGAATAATAGTTGTATGGAATTGGAAGTTCACTCTATTTTTGGGCAATTTCCCATTTAGAAAGCTACAAAAACCACGCGGTTGCAATTTTCAGTTTTCGAAAAATACACTCTCTTTAACGTGTAGCATGTGCCTATGTTTTTATTGGCTATGTTACAATTAGCTATTATATTTTTTAAATAAAATTAAAAATTCAAATACTAGTATTGTAAATAAAAAATAATTTAATTTTATAACAAATATTATTTAAATTAAAGTAATTAATTAATGATTTAAAAACTGATGATTGTACTAAAAATACATTATTAATTGTTCAGCTCAACTTTTTTAAAATATAAATTATTATTAAAAATTAATTGTTCATATATTAATCTAAAAATTATTGCAACATGTTTTATGATTAAAGACATACGTATGTTCTAGTTTAAGCAATTGAAAGGAAAAGCTATTGGATTATTGGAGTGGGTTTTAATAATTTATTTTTCACTCATCATAATATTCTACCTCTTTTTTTTCTATTTTTATTTCATAAAGTAAAGCTGTCATATATGTGATTATTTAAATATTGAAATAAAAAAATTAATCTTATTAAGTTAGACCATATCATAAAAATAATAATTTTTATATTAAATATTTAATTTTAAATAAAAAAATTAATCTTATTAAGTTAGACCATATCATAAAAATAATAAATTTTATATTAAATATTTAATTTTATTGTATTTTTGAAATTTTAAATATAAAGTTATGTAGAAAATAAATTATTAACATAACGTTGAAACTCTAGCCGTTCTCTCTCTCCCTTCTCTCATTCTATTTTGTCTCTATAGATCAAATTAATTTATTCTTTTTTTATTTTCTTTAACCGGCAACGCCACCTATTTTGATGTTGGTTGTTGACCGTCGGTTGTCTTTTCTTTTTGTTTCTTTTTTAATTTTTTAATAGGAATAATTATGTCTTTGTGACACAATTATCTTTGTTTTTGTGATATGTTTATCTCAGTCTTTGTGGTATTTTTATTTGCCTTTGTGACACGTTTTTCTTTGTCTTTTGATAGTTTTCGATCGGTTGGCCGTTGTTTTCGTTTTTTTTTTCTCAGGATTGAATTTGACATCACCACAACTGATCAAGATGACGTTTATATTTTATCATATTGATCTCCCTTGCTTTGGACCTTTAAATTGATTTGGATGTGTTTTGCATTTATTCGCTTGACTCTGATTTACGATTTGTCGATGGTCTTTCAGTAGCTTCATCCCCTTTTGTGGTTAGTTTGCACATGCAGTCAGATTTGTTCGTAAATTTATTTTGTTCGAGCTTTTTGATTATGTTTTTTAACATTTTTTTCTTTGATCCTTGTGTGATTTAAGTGGCTAGTTGATCTTCATTGTAATTATGAATATTTTTTATTTTTAATAAAACTAGCCGATTCTATAAAAAAAATGTAAAACCTTAATTAAATTGAAATAACATTTCTCCTTAAAAAAGAGCTGACTTTTTTGTTTTTGGTCCCTAAGTGGTAGTTAATTTTAGTTGCAAGTTAAACGGTGGCCTCCTGCCCAAAAAATTCTATAAAATGGCCCTTCCCCTCCCCCGATCTCCATCACTAAACTCCCTCACATTAAGCAGCTCATATTTTCAAACCTCTAGGAAAAATGGTTCTTGCCTGTGTTTTATTCATGGCTTTACTTTCAATGGTCTCAGCTGTTCATGGATATGGCGGTGGTTGGACCAATGCTCATGCTACCTTCTACGGTGGCAGCGATGCTTCAGGAACAATGGGTATGCACCCAAAAAAAACGAAGCGAATCTACAACAATGGGCCGGTGTGGTTTATTCGACTAATTTTGTCTTCTCCTTTTCTTTTGCAGGTGGAGCTTGTGGTTATGGAAATTTGTACAGTCAGGGTTATGGGACCAACACCGCCGCTTTGAGCACTGCTCTGTTCAACAATGGGCTCAGCTGTGGTTCGTGCTACGAGATCAAGTGTGTCAATGACGGCAAATGGTGCTTGCCCGGTTCTATTTTGGTTACGGCCACCAATTTCTGCCCTCCCAACAATGCCGGCGGCTGGTGCAACCCTCCTCTGCAACACTTCGATCTTTCTCAGCCTGTCTTTCAACACATTGCTCAATACAGAGCTGGGATTGTCCCTGTTTCTTACAGAAGGTGAGTTTTCAAATTTTCAACTCATCTCGTCACTTCTAAAAGACTTCAACTTCATCCGATGAGGGGGGTTTTCAATTTTGTTCCTTTTGTTTTGTAGGGTACCATGCAGACGAAAGGGAGGCATAAGGTTCACAATCAATGGCCATTCCTACTTCAACCTAGTCCTCATCACCAACGTCGGCGGCGCCGGCGACGTACACGCTGTGACCATCAAGGGTTCTAGGACCGGCTGGCAACCCATGTCCAGAAACTGGGGTCAAAACTGGCAGAGCAACAATTATCTCAACGGGCAAAGCCTCTCATTTAAGGTCACAACGAGTGATGGCCGTACTGTGGTCTCCTACAATGTTGCCCCGGCTGGCTGGTCCTTTGGCCAGACCTTCTCCGGCGGCCAATTCCGCTAGATGAAAAGAAAAAAAACCTTTCTTCTTTAATCAAATACTATCCCCATATACCATCCAAAGTAGTATTAGCTAGTAGACTATACCATGTTAATGTGACCATTAAAAGAGTCATTTTTTCTTCTGCTGTTTATAATGCACAGGGGACTTGGGCAGAGGTGAACTTTTACCACCCGCCGCTAAGCATTGTTTAGGCTTGTAAGGTCCACCACTTTGAGCAGCTTTGGCTGAGATTGTTATTTGGCTTTCATTTGTATTAAAAGAGTCAATTAGTAGCATTTTTTGGGAGCTGCAGAATATGGCAATTGGGTCACTTAAACGTCCAATTTAAGCTCATGTCTTTCAGCCTAAACCCTAAACCATAATTGTGAGACTTGGGAGGGCATAGCAAAAAACCTTGCAAGGTGATAGATAATTTTTGGTGCGTATCTAGAAGAGAATCAGAAAATTTCAATGGCAAAGTTTAAGGGCCTGTCCTTCTTCTTGAAAGTTTAAAATCTTCGTCTGCTCCACTGTCTGGTTACATTCTCATTACCATACTATTTTCTTGGCATTTTCTAGGGAAAGCGACGTGCATCAAACCCGTTCACGAAAAAATCTACGTGTCCAGGCTGCAAAGCCATCAAACCTCATGTTTCAAGCTGCATTAAATCACAGGCATTAACAAATTCGAATTCAAAATTTGTAATTTTGGAAACTGAAAATGAATATGAATAATAATATGCTTAAAGTATAAAAAAAACCCTAAACCATGTTGTTGTTGTTTCGTTTTAAGTTGTAATAAATTTACGTAAACGATCCCGATTATAGGGTGTTATTTTATTGAGTCTTCCGATTATTAAAATTTATAAAATGGTCATTCGATTATAGAATGTTGTTTTGTTGAGTCAACTATTAAAATTTACAAAATGGTCATCCGACTATTCATATGTTCCAGACTCATCCTAACATTAGTTTGAGTTGGACATTAACATGCGAACTGAGATATGACAATATTTTGAGATTATGGGATCAAATTTTATCATAACTTAATAAATAGGTTAATGATCAGCTCATACTACAATCATTTTTTAATAGAAAAGGACGAGTTTGAAATATATGAATAGTCGAGTGACCATTTTATAACTTTTAATAGTCAGAGGACTCAACAAAGTAATACCCTAACGGTCGTTTGAGCTAGACGTTAACATGCAGACTGAGATATGACAATGTTTTGAGATTCTGTGATCAAATTTTATCATGTCCCAATTAATAGGTTAAGACCATCTTAAACTACAGTAAATTTTTTAATAAAAAAATGATGAGTTTGAAACATATAAATAACCGAGTAATTATTTTACAACTTTTAATAGTTGGGGGACTCAATAAAACAATATCCTATAGTTGAGGGATCATTTTATAATTTTTAATTGTTGAGAGATTTAATAAAATATCACTCCATAGTTGTTATGTATGGCTCATAAAAAGTCTCGTTGTGGGGTTACGAATTATGTGGGTTGGGGGTGTGGGGGCGCAGCCCCCGCGGTACGGTACAGGGTTGATTTTGTAATTATGTACCAGGGTTTTCTATTATAAATAGAGATGTAACCTAGACCTAAAATATCATTGAATAAAACTTCTAGCGCCGCCTAGGCACCGAGGACGTAAGCACATTGCCGAACCTCGTAAAATTCTCGTGTTCTTTCGTTTTCTTTACCCGTTTTCGTCAACAATTGGTATCAGATGTCAGGAGCAAAATTCGAAGTCGCGAAATTCGATGGTCAGGGTAACTTCGGATTATGGCAAACGAGGGTGAAGGATCTATTGGCGCAGCAAGGGATCTTGAAGGCTTTGCGACCTACAAAGCCGGCGTCGATGGATGAGGAAGATTGGGAAGAATTGCAGCAGCGAGCGGCAGGAACCATAAGATTATGCTTGGCGGACGAGGTCATGTATCACGTCATGCATCTATCGTCTCCAGACGAAATTTGGAGGAAGTTGGAAAGTCAGTTTATGTCCAAATCCTTAACGACAAAACTGTATCTGAAGCAGCGGCTGTATGGGCTGAAGATGCAGGACGATCACGATTTGGCGCAACACGTGAATGTCTTCAATCAAATCGTTTCTGATCTGGCTCGGCTTGATGTGAAAATTGAAGATGAAGACAGAGCGATGATTCTGTTGTGTTCGTTGCCTTCCTCTTACGAACACATGGTGACTACTCTTACATATGGGAAAGACTATCAACGTTGAGGAGATTACTGCAGCCTTGTTGGCTCACAACCAGCGGAAGCAGAATGCAGGGGAAAGCTCTCAAGCCGATAGCTTATATGTCAAGGGTAATCGAGATCGTGGACGGAAGCCAGAGAAGGCAGGGTCCGGGAAGCGGAATTCCAGATCCAAATCCAGGGATAAGAAGACGATTCACTGTTACAAGTGCAAGGAGGCGGGACATATGAAGCGAGACTGTCCGAAGTTGAAAAAGCATACCGATGAGAAGCGTGATGGCTCATCCAAGTCTGTGAACGTGGTCGAGGATGATACTTCTGATTGCAGTGAGGGTGATATGCTTTCTATTTCAACGACACAATTGACGGATGCTTGGATTCTTGATTCTGGATGTTCTTATCACATCACGCCAAATAGAGAATGGTTTTCGACATACAGGCCGGTTAATTCTGGTTCGGTTTATTTGGGTGATGATCGATGTTGCAATATTGTTGGTATTGGTGATGTCAGAATTAAGATGCACGATGGCTCCGTTCGGACGTTGAGTGGTGTTCGACATATCCCAGACTTGAAGAAGAATTTGATTTCCTTGGGCACTTTGCACAAGAATGGTTTTATCCCTAAGGCTGACGAGGATAGGGAAACCATTCGGATTGTTAAAGGAGCATTGACTGTGATGAAAGGCAAGATGACTGCAGGGAATATCTACAGATTGTTAGGGAGTACCGTTGCAGGTGGAGTTCACTCTGTTGAGTCCTGTGATGATACGACAAAATTGTGGCATATGCGCCTTGCTCATCTTAGTGAACGTGGTATGGCAGAATTACACAAGAGAAACTTGTTGCATGGTGTTAAAAGCTGTAAGCTCGATTTTTGCAAGTATTGTGTTCTTGGTAAACAGACTAAAGTCCGTTTCAAGACTGCGAAGCACACAACTCAAGGGATTCTTGATTATGTGCATTCTGATGTATGGGGGCCTTCCACGACATCGTCTTTGGGTGGATCTAGGTACTATGTTACTTTTATTGATGATTTTTCACGGAAAGTTTGGGTGTATTTTTTGAAACAGAAATCTGAAGTTTTTGAGAAGTTCAAGCTGTGGAAAGCTGAGGTAGAAAACCAAACAGGACAAAAAATCAAGTGTTTGCGGTCTGATAATGGTATGGAGTACACAGATTCACAGTTCCTACAATTCTGTAAGGAGCATGGGATTCAGAGGCATTTTACAGTGCGCAAGACACCACAACAGAATGGTGTTGCGGAACGAATGAACAGGTCGTTGAATGAAAGAGCCAAATGTTTGCGGTTGAATGTGGGGCTTCCCAAACACTTCTGGGCTGAGGCTGTTAACATGGCGTGTTACCTTATCAACAGATCGCCAAGGGCATCGCTGGCTGGGAAAGTTGCAGAAGAGGTATGGACTGGTCATGATGTTAGTTTTGATAACTTACGGATTTTTGGTTGTCCTGCTTATGTGCATGTACCTGCTGATGAGAGATCCAAACTTGATGCAAAATCGAAGGAGTGTATTTTTCTGGGTTACAAGAAAGGTGTCAAAGGATTCAAGTTCTGGGATCCAGTTGCGAAGAAAGTTGTGATTAGTAGAGATGTCGTTTTTGATGAACAGTCTATGTTGCAGCAGAAGCAAGACACGACAGTGGTAGATTTCGAGCAGTTTCCAGTTGAGAAACCAGAAACTTCTCAACCGACTTCTGGTGGTTCCACTACGGATGATTTGCAGGATTATAGTCTCGCCAGAGACAGGGTGAGACGGACGAATATAAAGCCTCCGAACAGATTGGGTTTTGAAGACTTGGTATCTTTTGCACTTACTGTTAGCAGTGATGATCCAGTTACTTTTCATGATGCCGTTACTAGTCAGGAAAACGACAAGTGGATGGCAGCCATGGTTGAGGAGATGGAGTCTTTGAATCACAATCGCACATGGGAGTTAGTTCCCCTTCCTGAGGGTAAGAAGCCGATTGGTTGCAAATGGGTGTATAAGAAGAAACCAGCAGTAACAGAAAAAGAGGGGGAGAAGTTCAAGGCTCGTTTGGTAGCGAATGGTTTTTCACAGCAGAAAGGAGTTGATTATGATGAAATCTTTTCTCCTGTGGTCAGGCACACTTCAATCCGAGCAGTACTTGCATTGGTGGCTAGTTGGGATTTGCATTTAGAGCAGATGGATGTTAAAACTGCTTTTTTGCATGGTGATTTAGAGCAGATCTACATGCGGCAACCTGAAGGTTTCACTCAACCTGGAAACGAGCATTTAGTTTGCAGATTGAAGAAATCTTTGTACGGGTTAAAACAGTCTCCGAGACAGTGGTATAAACGGTTTGACTCCTATATGATCAAGATTGGCTACAACCGATGTGAGTATGATTGTTGTGTCTATGTTAAGAGCCTTGATGATGGTTCTTTTATTTTTCTATTACTGTATGTTGATGATATGTTGATTGCTGCGAAGAACATGGATGATGTTATCGGTTTGAAAACTTTATTGAGTCAGGAATTTGATATGAAAGATTTAGGTGCTGCAAAGAAAATTCTTGGAATGGAAATTTGTAGGGACAGAGACTCAAGGAAACTGCGGCTATCTCAACGGGGTTATGTTGAGAAAATGCTAGAAAGGTTTGCGATGAGCAGCGCGAAACCAGTTAGCACTCCATTGACGAATCACTTTAAGTTCTCATCAGAACAGTGCCCTAAGACAAATAAGGAAGCTGAAAATATGGCAAAGGTTCCGTATTCTAATGCTGTTGGCTGCTTGATGTATGCGATGGTATGTACTCGTCCTGATTTAGCTCATGTTGTTAGTCAAGTTTGTAAGTACATGTCTAAACCTGGTAAGCAACATTGGGATGCAGTCAAGTGGATCTTTCGGTACTTAAAGGGTACTGTGGGACATGGAATTGTTTTTGGGAGTCAGCGGGATAATCCTTTGGTTGTAGGATATGTGGATTCAGATTATGCAGGTGACTTGGATAATAGAAGATCTACGACAGGGTATGTGTTTACTCTTGGTGGAGGGCCTATTTGCTGGAAGTCTACTGTTCAATCTGTCGTGGCACTATCTACAACTGAAGCTGAATACATGGCAGCGGCTGAAGCTGCAAAAGAAGCTTTATGGCTTACTGGTTTAGTGAAGGAGTTGGGTGTTCAACAAGGTGGAGTTCAGTTGCTTTGTGATAATCAAAGTGCTATTCACTTGGCTAAGAATCAGGTGTATCGTGCTAGAACTAAACATATTGATGTAAGGTTCCACAAGATCAGAGAGTTGGTTGCATCTGGAGAAGTTTTGTTTCAGAAGGTACATACTGATGAGAATGCCGTTGATATGTTCACCAAGCCAGTTACGACAGACAAGTTCAAGCATTGTTTGGACTTGTTGAATGTTTCGAGTTGTTAAAGAAGCAAGGTAACCCAACCCACATTGAAATTTCCAAGGGGCAGGATATTTGCCAAGGTGGAGATTTGTTATGTATGGCTCATAAAAAGTCTCGTTGTGGGGTTACGAATTATGTGGGTTGGGGGTGTGGGGGCGCAGCCCCCGCGGTACGGTACAGGGTTGATTTTGTAATTATGTACCAGGGTTTTCTATTATAAATAGAGATGTAACCTAGACCTAAAATATCATTGAATAAAACTTCTAGCGCCGCCTAGGCACCGAGGACGTAAGCACATTGCCGAACCTCGTAAAATTCTCGTGTTCTTTCGTTTTCTTTACCCGTTTTCGTCAACAATAGTCAAATGATTATTTGTATACTTTACTTAAAAAATAATCACTTAAAGTAAATATATATACATATATAATTTAAATACTTTTTTTTGTTAGAAATAATAACTTTAAGTACTTAATGTTATATATAATATTTTTAGAATTTATTTTAATTAAAAAATAATTTAAATACTTCAAATAGAAAAGAGTCAAAAGACATAATTTAAGGTCTATTTTTAGGTTAAACCATGGTAATATGAGAACAAAAATTACGAATAACAGAAGAAATTAGTGTTTGTGTGTTGGACTTTGATGGGGAAATGGATGGCGTTTCATATCGGTGTTTGTTTGTCAATTGTCTCTTTCACCAGAGATTTGCTTCCAATGTTCAAATCTTCTTCATAACGTGACTCACGAGAAAGAGAATCCAGGAATTATTAAATATGTTTTTCTATAGTGATTTTCATTAAATCTGGAGCATCATATTACTGTGAATTTAACACGACAAAAAGTAAGATGCCATGCAGCCCCATACGGTCGAGAGAGCTAAGAAGGAAGCTGATGAGCTTTTGAAGGTGATTGAAAGGTAAACTCCGGTGCATTCTGAGGGTGACCTGACATATAATCTCGAGCCATGTGAAAAATTATTGCTTTATTTTCTCTCTACTAGTTATTCTTCAGACCGTATTTACTGCTGTTTGGTTTTCCTACTGTTACACTTCCTTGTCTGAGTGTCCCCGTCTTGCCATTTTATGGGCCAACCATACCATACGGTTTACGATACTATTTAAGAAAACATTTATGCTTCTGGTCCTGTGTTGGCTTGGCTTGTTTCGATTAGGACCATTGCATTGCATAGTGTAGCGTGCCCTCTTTTTCCTGGGGACAAATTACATATATTGTTACTGTCTTTAACATGTTTTCATTTTTTTTTGTTGGTTTTGATTTACAATCAATGTTTGTTGCTACGTGTTTTATTTACAGCTTAAGCTTGACATCGAGGAGGAGAAGGCGGTGATCGCCATTAGTAAACTCTAGTAATCAAAAGGGGAAGATAAAAAGAAAATCTACTACTAAATTTATATATTAGTATACAGAAATTGTGGTGCCTCGTTTGACTGTTGTCAGCAGTTCATCAACTACTAAGGCATAGGTTGTCCAGTCGAGCTATACATCTCATCCACCGAGCCCCGGTTTTCACTTGCCAATGAAACCATGGTATCGAGCCATCCCATATCCTGCTTAGATGATGAGATGAATGATAGCATCACTCTTCTGCATCTCAGTTTAGTTGCTGTAAAAGACAATAAAATTTTCAATTGAGAGAGAGAGAGAGAGAGAGAGAATGCATAGTAGGACCAACGGCTATAATGGCTCGTCGAACATGGTAACAGCACAAGGACCAGAAGTGGAAGCCCAACTGCCTTGGTTTGCATCGTATCCGGTTCTCGGACCTGCTAGAACTCCATTCACATGATAATCTACAGGAGCTTCCTGAAAATTCATCTCTGCCGCCGTTGGGAATTTGTGATCATTCAGTATGCTAAGATCGTATGAGAAGGGGCATTGCCCACCTAGTTGCAAATCGTTAAGGATGCCATTGTCTTGTCCAGAACTCGATAGTTCAGAACTTTTAGGAGTGCTGAAGTAACCCGAATAACTACCAAACGAGGAACTTGCCGAACACTCCACATCCCTGGTAATTAAGAAATCAACATCATAATACATTATGGAAGACCTTAAACATCAACTTTAAGATTTCTAGAAACTCGACTCGCCTATGGGGTATCAAATTTGAGTCCTCTGGCAATGCCATGGGTCTACTGTCATTGTTAGGCATCCATGCAAGAGATTGGAGCTGTTGCTCAATGCCCATTCTTAAGGGTACACGCATTTCATTTTGGAACTGCAAGAAAAGGATGGTTAAGATATTACGTTCCAGTGACTTTCAAAGAGCAACACGAGCAGGAAATTTTTTCAAGCCCGTCACACATTCTTACCTGACTTGTGCATTCTAAGGGTAAAAGCTGCTGCTTTCCTAAATTTTCTTGCGCAAAGAAGGTAGATAAGGTCGAGTGTCGAGTTAAAACCCCATCACTTTTGGCTCAGTTTAACTAAGCAAACTACAACATATGCTCCCTGGTGGAGCATTCTATCACTTGTCATAAAAGATATAGGCATACCTTATGGGCTCGAATTTGATTTAGAGATTCTTTCAGTGAACTTTCCATTTGCCCCAAATGATTAACATTGTTGATCTTGTCCATGTCAGTCCAACAACTGAGCAGCCAATATTATTGTTAGCACAAGACCACGATAGTACATTCAAGGTTATCACTAACGAAAAGCCAAATTAAAGCTTGACATTAAAAACTATGTAGATCTTCACCTCAGTCTCCTCTGTATTTCAGAAAGCCGGGTCTGCAATAACCTTGCTTGGTTGGACAGGTCCTGCCCATAGCCATCACGGATACACAAAAAGCTTTTTAGAATAATGAACACCATGGTCTAGCAATTTTAAATTATGATCATAGGTTAATGTAATGGCTCATGGCTCATCATGCATGCATACCTCTATTGTTTGCGAACTGTGGAAAAAAGAAAGCAGAAAAGAACACGAAAGGTCATAGGCCTATCAGAATCTCCTGTAATAATTTTAAAAAAAACTACTACGAGCAATTTTCCCAACGAGAAGAAGATTGATATATACCTTGTACCAAGAAATTCATGAATATTTACATCATGGTCCAACTTCTTGAACGTTTTCTTCAGTGCCTAGACTCTCGAAGAGAAAACAAATTATGCAACTGATAAGGGTGATTACTTGTTCGAGACGAACAAACGGAAGATGGTAACATTGATAAAGGATAGATAAACGTATGAAAGAACTTACTTCAAGGCTTTCAAACTTCCTGTTCCAAGTAAAACAGAAAAGAAAATGTGGGTCAATTCTAATTCGATAAGTAAACCATTTAACTCTTAAAGTATGGACATCAGTAATCTGATTTTTCAAACTCAAAAATTTGAACCGCACCTTTTGGCCCGTTCCTGCGGAGTTAGTTGAGCAAACTTTTCAATGGTCTCCTCAATGCTGTTGAATCCACATCGCAAAATAAAAAATATGAACATTGATACGGAGGGATAATAGTCTTCTACATAAATCTAACAAACCAAACTGCTTTGACACAAATTCGTATATGAAAACCAAATCAAAATATTTCCTTGACATCGGTACCATGTATTATGGGTCTGCATTGCTCCCTTCATTTGATAATGTCTCATAGAATACCTCAGCACAAATTGCACCTATCATGTGACTCTCAAATCCACTACTAATAACATCACTTAGAGGTGATTTTGTGCATATGAACACTTCTCAATAACATCAAAAATTCCAAGTTCCCAAATGCAACTCAGGAGAAACTACAACCTGTTTGCCACTTTTGAAAATGGCATTTGTTATCAAATTCTCATAATTAAAACCCCCTAATGCATCAACATATATCAATGACATATATTTGGATATTGATGGTGCTTCCTCTAAATGCACTATACTAGCCCAATTCAATGCTTAATCAATCCTCTTTAAAGCTAAAGTATGGGCAAAAAATTGACAAATAAAAACGGCAAACTACATGCTAAAGGCAGAACAAAGAATGGCCTACTTGCGCTTCCCAATGCATAGGGAAGGTTTGTTAGTTGGGGAGAACATAAGGAGGATAATTTCTACATCACATAGGATAGAAAGCTCATTAGCCTTCTTCATTATCCCATGCTTCCTTTTGGCATAAGTCGCCTGGCGGCCATTTGTGTTCTCTAGTTTCTTTATCTTTAGCTTAACCCTTCCCATCCTGCATATTCAAATACACACAATTCGGTATTGAAAGCACAATATAAACACTTTCTTTGGCATAATTAGAAATGGGGTTATCAAGAAATCTCCAGAAAAACAAAATAAAACCGAGTTTAAGATCCATTTGAACATGAAATCTTTCTCCATTGTTGCTTTCTGGATTTCCTTGCAACAATCAAAAGACAGGGTGAAGTACATGAAACAAGGCGTATACCCAAATGAGCAAAATCAAACGAGGAGTTGAAAGTGCATAATCCAAACGTGTTAAGGAGGGGGAGAGGTTGATTATTAAGCCAAATAAGAGAACACCAAAGGGCACAGAGAGATATGATAGAGAGGGAAAAAGGAAACGATAAGAGAGAAAGGGGAAGGTAGATGGAGAAAGAGTAGCGTGGTGTGAAAATGACAAAGCATAGAATAGAATTGCATTTACACGACCGGGTGAGCGGCAAAAGCGGTCGTGGGAAACGAGCTCGAGAATAGGTGGGTTAGTCAATACAACCGATAAACCAACAACTCTCCGCAAACCCCAAACCCAAAAACCGTACTTTGCGCCACAACAACTCACCAAAATCGAACCTTTCAACTTCACATTTGTTTGGACAAAACTACTACCGTCTTCACTCTTCACTAGTTCACCACGTTACTGTGTCATCTTTTTGCATGTCTATAGTATGGTTTGTTGGTTTTGTGATTTAAAATTATTTTGTTAGGTATCTTTAGATTAAAAGAGATTTTAGTGTTTTTAGAATTTTTTTATTAAGTAGAGAGAGATTATATTTTTAAGATAAATGTCGACATCTAAATTTATATAACATGAGATAATAAAAGCATCTCTAACCATTCTTTTATTAATCTTGGCTAAATACCAGACATTATCTGTTTAAATAACACTCTCAACCATTTGATATGGTGCTCGAACTCATAATCTTAAAAAATAACAATAATTACTTTACTACTAAGTCACTCGATTTGTGCTTTGTAACCACTTTGCTTCTTCTAAACAAACTTGTTTGAAAGACCAAATTTGTATTGTGAAGTTTACTTGTTCCATAACTAAGGACTTTATCTAAAGTTTCTTATTGGAAATTGGATATTTGATCAATCACTTTAGGAGACAAACTCTGTAAAGAGAACTAAATGAAAACCTACATCTTAAATTCTACAAAACAAAAATATTTTAAATATCTATTTTAATATTATAGTATTAAACTTATTAAGTGATTTCAATAATAAATAAAAATGTTATTCTTTTTAAATATTACAACTTCGACTAATTATAATTGTTGAGCGCAACAACTGCACACGTTCTATCAATAGGTTAAAAAATCTTCTGAACATGTTTAGTTTTATTTTTGACTAAAACTTTAATTGTATTATTTAAAGGGGCTCTATTGTGTCATAAAATATGTCTTTGACACGTGAGAAATAGAAAATATCAATTGATTTGTGTAAATGATTATGAAAACACCAAGGAAAGAGTCAACAGTCGATTTTTAAAGCTGACATTCTTTGATGATCTCTTCTTATTTTTTAGGTAGTAATACCTTTCATTTCATTTCCCGTGCGTGTACTCATAAAGCTTTTGGTTTTAGAACCTTTATTTTCAGCTGTTGTTTGACCAGGCATCGTTGATAAACAGACAAGCTTTCGATGCATGAAAGCGTTGCTCTAATTTCTCCGTTAAGCTAAATGATGATGGCAGAGATTAGTATTCAGCAGTACAATATGATAAGACAGTTTTAAAGGCACGCAAATTCTCTGTTTGCATGAACCTTGTCGTGTTCTTCCTCCCTCCCTGTTGTTTCTGTTGTAACTGTGCCAATCATCTGTAACAATAGATTTCTTGGCAACCATGAAAACTTTTGTTATCTCTTTCATTGGGCCTTTATGAGTATATTTTTCCCACTGCTGCTTTTGTTTTTGCGTGTCAGGAGAATCTTTGTATAGTGCGAGCCATGGACGGGCATGGGGAAACACAGCACATACACATACTCAAAAATTATTGTTGCCTCCACGGCGGGAACTGTCAACCATAAAGCAAACAATTGTATGAATACATTTAGTTCACATCTTTGCTCTCTTTTCAGCAAGGTTGAAATGTGTGTGTGAAGACTAAACAGTCCCTATGGTACAACACTTCAGCCTTAAGGGCCCAGTGGTAATTAAGGCACTATCATTTTTATGTCATTTCCCAAGGATTAATATCAACATCTATTTACTGAGCCTTAGCTACACAGCCAAATGCCATCAATGAAGTGTCACAACACTGTATTTGACTCAAATTCGAACTCGAATATAGACTCGTTTTTGGAACAAACAAACAATAAGACACACCTTTGGTTTTATTTTTACAAAGGATGCCATAACACAGTTCACATTTCCTAGTCAATGTCACCTGAAAATTAAAGGAGGAAAGGTACAATCACTTGTTCAGTGAGGAAGAGGGGGAGAGAGAGAAGATAGAGTCTAAATACTGTAGCAAATAAGTTATATAGCTATTCAAAAACAACTCTCCAGGTACAGACAATTCCCCTTATGTTTAGTAAAGCTGTGTCCTCTCTTCATCGATCAATGAAACAAGATCTCATACAAAATCAAACCCCACGTCTTTTCTATTACAACCCTCTCAGTCTAGTTGTAAAAACAATTAGTAAATAATAAGCTAGAAGAAAGACAAGGGAAAACAAACCTATAATTACTAAATGTAGAATTAATTTATTGACAATGATTCAGTTTCTTATCTTTTAAAGCTCTCTCTGTGTTTCAGAAATGCTTACTGATCGTTAAAAGACATAGGGAAGTCCAACTCTCTCCCTTTTATCCCTCTTTTCCATGTTTTGGATAATCAATTAATCACATATCAGTCACTGAAAAATAACAATTTTATTTTTAAAATCCCAAATAAATAATTATTTAAAGAAATAGGTCCTAAAAATTATTTAGAAGAATAACACCTAAATCGTCCACATAATACGACCTCACGGCCTGCAAATCACGTGTTAAGTCATCGCACCATTCAAAAATTATATTATAATAAATAATTATAATAATAATAAGTAATAATATTAATTATTAAATATAATAAATAATTAAAATATAATAATATATCAATATAATAATTAAAATAGAAATTTATAAAAAAATAATTATGATATATTTTGTAAAATTTGAAATAATGAAAATTTTATATTATAATAAATAAATAAACTATTAATAATTAATAATATTAATTATAAAATATAATAAATAATTAAAATATAATAATATATAAATATAGTAATTAAAATAGATATTTTATAAAAAATAATTATAATATATTTTGTAAAATTGAAATAATGAAAAATTATATTATAATAAATGATTGTAATAATAATAATTCATAATATTAATTATCAAATAGAATAAATAATTAAAATATAATAATATATAAATATAGTAATCAAAATAGATATTTTATATAAAAAAAATTATAATATATTTTGAAAATTTTGAAATTTAAATTTGAATTAAAACAATTTCACATCTTACAGAACGTGTAGTACTGGGAGTTCTGTGTTTTCAGTATCTCGCGTCTTTTAGGAACTAAGTTGTATTTAAAATTGTGCTTCCCCAAGTGCAAGAAGGTCTATAAATTAGGTTCTCTACTCCTTTTTATCACCACACCGGGTATATGGGATACATATATTTAAATATTCAAAGATTTCATATCATGGCGGTGAGTCTATTAAGACATGATCGAAGTCACGTATTTGATTATTGAAGGCAGAATGATGAGGTAAATTAATTAATATTATTTTAATTTTTCACTATTTATTTATTTATTTAGTTTATTTGTTTTGGTATTTAAATAATTTAAATATTTATATTTTTGTAAGTATATAAATGTGTATTAGAGTATCATATAAATCATGTGACACCGCCCGATGCAGATATTATTAAGTATTTACATTTAGCGGGTTTTGGATATATCAATAGTATAATTGGTGACGGTGTGAAGTTGCATCCTCCACTTATCAATGCGTTGGTGAAAAGATGGAGACCGAATATGCACATGTTTCATTTACCGTGTGGGGAGACAACTATTATCTTGCAATATGTTGAATTTCATATGGGATTGCCTATTGATAAAGTAGCTATTTATGGTGTTACAGGTGCCCCTAAAAACGTATGTGAGATATTGCTCGGAATTGATCCACCTAACGATGCACGCTATGTGGAAAAATAAAAATTAATTTTTTGATGAAAATTTTACAAACCTACCCTAAAATGCGGAGCATGAAGTTAAATAGGTAAATATAAATGTTTTATCTATGAATATTTACTAATGCTTCAATTTCTTTATTTATTTTTTTTTAAAAATTAAGTAGTTATATTATTTTATTAATTTTTAAGTGATTTGTTCGTGCGCATATACTATAAGTTATTGGGAGATTTTAATGCCAGATAAATCACGAAATAAGGTACATTTAATGTCGTTGAATCATTCACAAAATTTGAGCGATTCAATAAATATAAGTTGGGGATGATAGTTTTGACAGTTTTGTTAAGGTAACTTTGTAGAGTCATAGATCCAACAAAAAAAGTCATTTAAGGGTGTTTATTGTTACTGCAGTCGTGGGCCTGGATTCGAATACCCTTTTTATAAAATAGTCGCATCAGTCCCGTTGTACATCGTGTCGATCCCGCTGATCCTATATGAGATTGTTGAGAGGCATCATACCGAGCGCTTCTTAAAATAATTTAATTGTGTTTAATCGATTTTGCCACATCCACCTTGATTGGATGACTTGCATAGATTGACGCGACAAGGGACGATGAAAAATAATTGGGCGGACCATAATGCGAGAACGAGTGGGTCCGAAGATTTGAGATGACGCCCATGGCTCAACCCATCTTCGACCACAGCATGACATATGATTATATGCGGAGGTAAGAGTTATATGTGATGCCATATATATTGATCGATGAAGAGCGAGTGCGATAATTATTTGTTCCTCCACAGAGTCATCCATGAATAGGGAGACAACGTAGGAGGATTAAAGGTATAGAAAAAGAAGACAATAAGGTGCATCATCTTCATCACCAACAACACAGGGAGCTCCTTAGACACCGCTGACACACCCTGACACTGTATTTACCCACTCGACTCAATCAACATTTTAGCAAATAGGGTAATTCTTGAAAGGTTTCCTCTCTGACGCCTTTGACCAGTTGGATTCATTATCGACACAATTGGCGGCTAACTTTGGATATGGTATTGTTCAGTATACACTACCGCATGACATATTCTACATTGGTCTGGTTCTAGTGTCACTGGTGGACCGATTCCATATACAAAT